TGCTGACTGATAAAGGGATGTTGGAAGGATTTTAGGACACATTTTACCAGACACATATCATCCTGTACATAAAAAAGCTCCATTCTCTTCTACTTTGCATATACTAACACCTGTTGGAAATATAACAACATCAAGAGCAGCTAATTCTCCCTGCTCTAAAGTACAACATCTAATAATGTGTACTAAATTCACCAAACACAACCCAGATTCCTTGGAGATTTCAGGAACAGTCACAGTGCTGAACCCCACGGCATGAGCTTGGCAGTACCTGCCAGGTTTTAATGCTTTTCTACTGAAATAATTCCAACCACCACCACCCATCTCTCAGCATTATCTATGAAACGAGCTTTTCAAACTCGTTTACTCAACCTTGAGGCTCAATAATTCCACCTGGACACATTTTAGTCCTCCTGGTGACAGGGCAGCCTAAGTTTAGCTACCCAAGTCTTTGAAATATGCATGGATTGTAGTTATTATAGATCTTGAAAGGTATTATGGACAACCATTCTGCTAAATGAGCTGTTTTCCTCAGAGAAAAAGCTTTTCTTCTGGGGGGAGCATCCTTGGCAGACACCAGCTCTTTCTCCTGCTACAGCCTCAGTTCCTCTCTGGAGCTGCACAGACTTTGCTGCAGAGATAGAGAAGATGGGAAAAATCACCAGCATTAGGTCTCACCTCCAGTTTAATGATTTAACAAGTGGAGATAACTGGGGGGTACAGAGTTATAACATGACTTGCCAGTCCAAAAAGGAAGCCAGATGTTGGAGCTGAGGCCAGAACTTCCGAGTTCCTATTCTCTCATCTCTCTGCTCAGTAGCGAGTCAGAATGGTTGTACAAAGGGTTTACTTTTAGTGGTAAGCTGTACATAAGGGAGATGTACAGGGAGCAGACAGAAGCTCAGGCTCCACCACAGTGGTGCAGTTTTGGTGCTGCACTTCAGCTGGCACTGAGGGCAGGGAGGGAGGGAGGGCACTCTGTTCCCTCCTCACACAAACACCTCCCGTGAGGCAGAGCCCACCTCACCACGTGCCAGCACTTCCTGCCTGTGCAACATCCGCATCCTCTCCATCTCTTGCCATCCCTGCAGCTCACGTGTTTCACCAACAGCCAGAGCAGCCCTGGCATAGTTTGAATGTCTCCAGCACGATGGGACAACCAGGCAGGGGGGCTTGGCAGGAGCAAGAAGCTGCTGCTGCCTCCTGTCACAACATCCTCAGCCATCTGCACGGCCAACATCAGCAGTGATCCCAAAACCAGCTCTGGTTTACCTCCCACAGACCTGATCCAGCCTAAGGCCAGCAGCTCAGCTACTCTGACACACAGAATCAACAGGAGCTATTTTGGTTAATTCAGCAGGAGCTCCTTGGCAACCAAGAGTGCCAGATACCCTGTGGCTCACCAGCATTACCTGGCTGCACGTGCTGCAATCCACACACTCTTTTCTCCTTAGTGAATGGAAGGCCTAAACCATCATCAAGGTAGCTTCAAGTGTAAGAATACAACAGCACTTACTGCCAAAAAACTGGGAAGGTGATAATAGAGGCTGTAAAATAAAAGCAAGGATGCTGCTGTGGGAAACTCAGAGAGCCAGGCTACAGACAACCACTGCCTACTCCCATTTCTGCAGCTATATTTGTCACACACAGAACCAGGACACAGGATTCCTGGGATCTGTGCTGCCACTTTCATTGTCTGCTCCCTGTGTGGCTCCACACTCAGTGACAACCTGAGGGAAGCGTGACTTGTTCCGTGAGGAGCCTGTTCTCCAACCCCTCTGATCCCTCACACAGCAGCATTTCCTGTAAGAAGTCCCCTTTCCTAAGCTGGCCTCGTTGCTGGCAGAACACAAATCCCACATAACTGAAGAATACATTCCCTAGGAGGCAATCACCCGACTTCAGCCTCACGTGGGAATTCCAAATGCAATTCCCAGGTGACAGGATTGCTGGGGAGCTCCTGACTGAGCTCTGAGGGCCTCAGAGACTGTTTATCTGCACCAGTGCAAAGGGGAACAAAGGTGAAGGAATGAGTGATGAGACAAAACAAATGCCTTCAAGGATTAGTGCCACAAACAATATTTATTCTGAAGCTGTTCACTAAATCACGTAGAAAGACCCTAAAAGTTGAGCATGAAACTATATAATAATTTGTGGCCTGTGAAAGAAGAGAAAAGCTTGAAGTTGGATTTAGTTACTCTCTGTTTAGAGATTTAACTCCCCAGAAACCCACCTGATTTTGCAAGACTCTTTTCCCTATGGACATGTCATGACACCCTCATTGCTGACCCCCCTTCCTCACAGGAAGCCCCAAACTGGACACTGCACAAACGCTTTTAGAGACACAACGTGCACGAGCAGCCACAGGAACCACCACACAGGGACGACCAGAGCTCAGCACAGCAGGGCTGCTCTTCACAAACACCTCTGAAAGCCAAGGATGATTCAAGCTTCTTCTGAAACTAAGTTTTAATAGTGGCATGAAGATTTCTGAGCCATTAGTGGCACCTAAGCCCAGCAAATGGGCACCTGTTCCACAGCATGTGCAGTTTCTGAGCTCACTGTGCATCACTGGTTTCCCTCTTGCCTTTGCTGGGCACTCAGACTTCACAATTTCCTCTCAAAATTCCTCCCCAGTTAATCAAGCTCTAATTCATCACTGCTCACTCCATTCCAGTTTAACCCAATTCAACTCCACTACGAAAATCTGCTTACATGAGCCTGTATTCCTGACAGCAGGGTTTAATTATGTTTTATTTGTTCCCAGGATGCCTTCCAGCAGCTCATCTTCCCCCTTTTCCAACTGTTTCCAGGAAGGAGGTGCACTAGCAGCAGAACATGCCCATCTGTAAGCTCCAAGGAAATGGAAACAGCAGGAAAATCTTGCCCAGGAGTCACATGAGGAGTTACAACAGTAAATGGTGCAGCACAGTCCGGTGGCTGTTTCCATTTCCCAAGGCAGGGCTTGTGGCTGAGCCAAATGGTGGATGTTGATGGCAAAAGGAAGCAAACATGGTGTAATTCAGGAGGATAAATGTGTGTGTCCATCTCAAGGCAGGGGAAGAATTAAGAAGGCCTTTTGCCACCTGCAATTTTAAGTGGTCTACCAAATCCTCCAAACCACAATATTTATTCATCTTTTTGAACTTGGGGGGTTCACTAAGACGAATCCACCTCAAAAATATCCCCCTTTGGCTGAAGCTAAATCTAGAAGGACCTGTGGCACGTGGCAGACACATCAGGAACCCACCTTGAGCAGGCAGGCACAGCAGGTACATCCCTCACCCACACACACCCAGGAGCAACAGGTTACTACTTGTATTTATTGAGGAGACCATATCCCACCCCAGCAGACCCCATATGCAGCAGCAAAGACTCTTAAAGGGACTAATGAAGCTCAACTTAAATGGGCTCCAGAGAGCAAGGTTTCAATAAACCAGCAAAGAGCACATCAAACAATGAGCAGATGTGATTATTTCAGTTCTTAAGCGAAGAAATTCACAACCAAGACCCAAACTCCAGAAGAAAATGGGTGCAAGGCCTGACCCTGCAGCATTTAAGTCAGATTATGCGAGAAAGGGGTTGAAAATTAGATAAGAAACTACTATCTGTGCCCAGTGGGACTCTCTGGGGGAGACAGGGCAGGAAGATTCCCATGAGCTGCTGAAAACATCTCTCCACTCACTGACCAACTGCAAAGTGTATGTTTGTGGCTTTCCTTTGTCAGCCCAATAAACACTGGGAAAGAAGGCTTCTCTGTGGGTAGAACAAGGGAGAAATCAGAACAGCAGTTGTGGTATGGTGACAGTGAGCAGCACCATGATCCTCTGGAGGCAATTCCCACCTCCCAGCCTGGCTCTGCCTGCACCCAAAGGATCAAAGATGTCTCCTCTGGCTCCTTATCAAGGGGAAAAAAGATTGTGCAAATCAGACTGTGCTGCATCTCCTCTGTATCTCTCCTTGGGATTGCACAGGGCTGACGCTGCTGGGAGGCAGCTGAAGGCCACTGTCTCCAGCAGAGAATCCAGGACATTCCTGCAGCTTATCCATGGCCAAACTGGAGGCCAACACGGCAACTCGGAGACTCTGAACCACAGAATGGTTTGGGTTGGAAAAGACCTTAAAACTCATCTAGTTCCACCCCCTGCCATGGGCAGGGACACCTTCCACCAGCCCAGGTTGCTCCAAGCCCTGTCCAACCTGGCCTTGGACACTTCCAGGGATGGGGCAGCCACAGCTTCTCCGGGCACTCCCTCCCCGGGTGTAAGGCCGGAAAACCTGTAATTCCCAACAGTCTCCGGCACTAGCGCTCCCAGGAGGAATTCCTGCCTTCCCGGCCCTTCTCCTCGTGTGACCAGGGCGGCTCTGGGGGTGCAGCCCCACGGGCAGGTCCCGGTTCCCCCCGCCCGTCCCGTCCCCGCTCCCCGCACTCACCATGGCCGCGGCGGCTCCGGGGCGGCTCTAGGCAGGACGCCGCGCTCCGCTCATCTCATGGCGGGCGGCGGCCCGGCGGGGCCTCCCTGCCCATGCACCGGCGAGCCCCCGCCGGCCGCGCACCGCGGGCACCGGAGAGCCGCCGGCGCCCAGCCCCCGGGCCTCCCCCGTTGGCGGGGACGGGGAGCCCCGGGGCGCTGGGCAGGGCTGCGGGCGGACGGTGCGGTGGGTGGGGGCGCGGCCCGTGCCGGTGCCGGGCGTGAGGCGGTGCCGGTGCCGGGCGTGAGGCGGTGCCGCTGCTCGTGCCGGGTCCGTACCGGGACTACCCCAGGCGCATCCCGGGCCCGCCCCGCCCCCCTCCGGAAGCGCTCACCGCGCCCGCGCAGCCAATCACGGCCCGGGCGGCGGTGCGGCGCCTGCGCAAACCAGCCGCGGCGCGCCGCCGCCGCCATCTTGGAAAAGGTCGCGGCGCCTCGCGGGGCGCGGGAGGGGGCGGGCACGCCTGGCCACGCCCCCCGAAGGGAGCGCATGCGCGAAACGCCCTTCCCGCGCGGCAGCACGGGGCTCCCGGACTGCGCACGCGCGCGGTGGGGGAGGAGCCAAGGGCGGGACTATGGGTGGGCACGCGCGGAGGGGGCGGGGCTTGGGAGGGAATGGGATGGGATAGGATGGGATGGGATGGGATGGGATGGGATGGGGTGGGAGGGGAGGGGAGGGGAGGGGAGGGGATGGGATGGGATGGGATGGGATGGGATGGGATGAATGGGCAGGGAGGGGATGGGATGGGGATGGGACCCAGATCTGGGCCTGATCCTTGGGCTAGTGCTGGTCCCAGACCTGCCCTGGGACTGGATCTGGGCCTCGCCCCAGATCCACAGGGATGCCTGTGCTCCCAGCTCCTCCTGAACCCCAGCAGAGCTCCAAGGACACCCTCTGCGTTTGCTGACTTTCTTCCCATGTAACTAATTAAGTAATTAAATGAACTGGAGCGGGGGGAACCCCCAACCCTGCCAGCCCTGCTCAGCAAGGACAACAGAGCTGCACGGCCCAGAATCCCATTCCTATTCCCATCTCCCAGGTTTGCCTTAACCTGGAGCTCTTTGTGGCCGTGGGTTTTCCAGTGCCTGATGTGGCCGGGAGAGAAGATGTTAACTGAGAGATCCAGATCCATTCATCCAGTGAACTAATGTTAAATAAAGAGAAATCCAGTCCCCAACTGCTGCCTGACAGAATCAAGAAGCTGGGACCAGCCATAGCCCCAAAACAATGAAGTTAACACAGATCCAAACATCCCTTTTGGTTCCCAAACTCTCAGTGGCACCTGCAGTGACAAGAGGTGGCTGAAACCAGTGGCTTAACTGGCTTTTGAGGGGACAGCCAATGCCCCTGGGGGGACATTGCAGAGGCTGGCACTTACTTTAGAGGATTAAACACCGGGAGGAGGGAGAATAAACCCTCCCTGGGGCTGTTACTGTCCCCAGGGCTCAATAAGGAGCTTAGGGCTGAGCAGTCCTGGGGCCTTTCCACAGCACATTTTCTGTCACGGAGGTTTTATTTCCACACTCTCAGCACAGCACTGACCCCAGAGGGGCCAGGCAGGGTGAGGGAACTCCCCAGGAAGGAGCTGTGCAGGTGAGGAGGTGCTGCCTGGACACAGGGGAGAGAATGGCTGTGAGCTGCCATGTGGTGATAAATGACCATGTGCACCCTCGGGCAGAGCACTGGCCCCAAAACCTACCCCCAACACCTCCCAAACACCCTCCAACACCTCCAAAACCCTCCAACGCCTTCAAAACCCCTCCAACACCTCCAAAATCTCTCCAATGCCTTCGAATCCACTCCAACATCTCCAAAATCTCTCCAACACCTCCAAAAACCTCCCCAGACCTTCTCAAAACTCTCCAAAACCTCTCCAAGGTCTCCAACCCCCCTCCAAGCTCTCCAAAATCTCTACCGCATCTCCAGTACCTTTCCAAAACCTCTCCAACATTTCCCACCTCTCCAAAGCCTCCCAAACCTCTCTGACTCCTCCAAAACCCTCCAACATCCTCAAAATCTCTCCATCATCTCCAAAACCCCTTTAAGACCAAAATCCCTTGAGCATCTCTAAAACCTCTCCAGTCTCCTCAAAATCCCTCTGACACCTCCAGAACCTCTCCAACACACCTCCAAAACACTCCAGTGCTTCCCAAAACTCCTCCAATAGCTCCCAAATTCCTCTGACTCCTCCAAAACCTCCAAAACCCTTTCAAAATCTGTAAAACCTCTCCAGCACCTCTAAACTATCAACAAAAATGTTTCCAATGTCTCCAGAACCTCTCCAAACCTCTTCAATGCCTCCAAAACTCCTCAGACACCTCCAAAGCTCCTCCAGCACCTCCAGCCCCCCTCTGGCTCCTTCAAAACCTCTCTGACATCTCCAAAATCCCTCCATCATCTCCAAAATCCCTCCAACACCTTCAAAACCCCTCTGACTCCTCCCAAGCCCCTCCAACACCTCTGTAACCCCCCAGCTGAGCCGAGGTCTGTGCCGTGCCCAGCAGAGGGTTGACGTGAGGCTGGAGCCCCCGGATCTGCCACCTCAGCAGGGCTCACATTAGGATCGGCGGCTGTGCTGGCACGTTACCATGGTGATCATTAAAAGGATAAGCTCATTATCACCACTTGTCATTCCGACAGGGCCGTGTGTGGACACACGCTCCGAGGCGCCAGGGAAACCAGGGACATGGATCTGCTGAGCCAGGACATCGGCCTGCAGAGCCAGGGGGGACCCACTGCTTCCACCACTCTGTGTTCTGGCGTGGGATCCTCAGGGTCTCCAAAACAGAAGTGGCCCCAGCTCCCTGGGCTGTGGTGGGAGGGACCTGCAGGCACAGAGCCAGCTGGTGAAACAAAAGGAAGGAAGAGAACCTTCTACCAAATTTCTGGATCCCTACAGGGAGATTTCTTCTCTATTCCTGTTTTCCCTGCAAAGCCCAAGGAGGTGGAACAGCTTTTAGCACAGGATGTGGGGCTGAGGGTGATTGTTGAGCTTTGCAAGTCTTTGTCCTTGCTTTGTGCCCCAAAGCAAAGGGATCATAAAGCATGGAATGATTTGGGTTGAAGAGACATTAAAGCCCATCCAGTCCCACCCCCTGCCATGGGCAGGGACACCTTCCACTAGCCCAGGTTGCTCCAAGCCCCGTCCAGCCTGGCCTTGGACACTTCCAGGGATCCAGGGGCAGCCACAGCTTCTCTGGGCAACCTGGGCCAGGGCCTCACAACCCTCAAAGCCAAAAATTCCTTCCCAATATCCCATCTAACCCTGCCCTGTGTCAGTGGGAAGCCATTCCCCCTTGTCCTATCCCTCCAGGCCCTTATAAAAAGTCTGTCCCCATCTTTCTTCCAGGCCCCCTTTAGATCTTACAGACACAACAGGATGTCACCAATGTCCCTGTGCCTCACACAGGTAATAACAGATCTCACACAATCCCACTGGGGGCTTTGTGGTGTTGTAGATCCACGAAACTCGAGGTGTAAGGACTCCCCCTGCCACCAGCATCCCTGGAGCATAAGAAGTGTGTCCTGGAAATGTGGCCATGCCAGACCCTGAGTCTGCTTTATCCCATTTCTGGGGCTCTGCCCATTGCTGCAAGTGCCATATCTTAAAGAAAATACAGAATCCACCCCATCACTGAGTGTGGCAGCCCCCGTTTGAGTTTGGGGCTCCTCAAACTGGGAGGCAGCATGGTTGTATCGTGCCTGGACTAGCCCCAAGGTAGGAGAAGTCCTCCTTTTTTTATTTATGTAACTTTATGTTTTAAAACACAGAAGAAAGGGAAATACTGTGGAGCCGAACAGCTGTTTTGGGAGATCAAGGGAACAGGATTTGTGAAAATAATTTGTCTCTGCGTGGTTTATCACTTTATTTTTATTACAACCAGCCCCTCAAATGCACTAGAAGGTGATTTGAAGCCCTCTTATCCAAGCTTCCTGCACAGCTCCAGCCTTGATTGCAGCCCCTTCAATCCCACATTCGAATATTCATCACATTTAATTGCTTTATTCCTGTTTTGCAGCATTTGGGGTTTTGCTGTCAGGGTGAGTCTGAGGCTCACGCCAACCCAGCCGCTGGCGGGGCTTCCCCTCCCATCCCACCTCTCTGTTCCCATCTCCTTTACTGTGCCTACCACAAACTGAGCTGTAACTCATTTGGAATGCCATGGATAAACGAGCATTTTACTGCCCTGCCACCTCATGTAAAGCAATTTAATGAAAAGGGTTAAGCTGTGTTTTATAAGTCCAATAAAGCGGCTTGGAAAAGTTTTGTCCGCAAACCCCCACCGCTCCCCGTGTCTCCCGAGTTCCTTGGCAAGGAGTTTGCTTATTTAGCAAGATGTATAAACCCAGCAGGTAAAATTCCTGAGTACAAATTCCTGCAGAAAGTACAAATGTGGGTAATTCATTACATAAACCCACCGCAGCCTGTGCTCTGGGGAAGGGGTGCTCCCAAAATGCCTCTCCCCAGAATGGGTATCCATCCTCCTCCACCTGCGTGAGGCACAGGAACCCACAGCCTGGTGTCCCAGGGATGGAGAGAGGTCAGTTGGGGCTGTTATCCCACACCATCCCACATCCCTGTGCTGGGCAGAGCAGTAAGGACCATCCAGGGTGGCCATGGTGGGCAAGGGACCTTTGTGGCCACCACAGCTCCTGGCCAGGTCCTCCTGCCTCCTGCTTTGCTCCCCATTGGGATTCCTCTGGGACTATGTGGGTGCTGGGTTTTTGGCACACTGATTACATCCCTAGAAATGGGTTCCCAAATCCCATGAAGGGCAGCTGCTCCTAGACTGGGACCGAAGAAGCCCACGAGTCAGGGCACTGAGGAGGAGGTGTGGGGGAGCACTGGCAGGAACAAGCTCCAGGCAGGCTTTGTGAGTCAGATGTTTTGCGTGTATCTAAAAGGGAGCCCTGGAAATTCATCCCAGTGTCCAAATCACCCCTTCCAACAGCTCCAGAGCTGGAGAAGCAGGTGGGAGAGGGGCAGCAATGGCAGCTTGCTCCCTCCAGTGAGAGACTCCTCCACTCTCCTACAGGCAGGGAGAAAGGACTCATTTGGGCTGTGGCTTCTTTCAAACCTACACAAAGATCAGAATCTGTCCCAACCTTCTTCCCAGACCTCAAAATCCCACCCAGGCAACACAACAGGCTGTCCTGACCTACCCTTCCACACCTCCCCCTGCTCTCAGCCTCCCATGGGTTTTGTGGGGACACCAGCAGAGGTGCGGGTGGTGGTGGAGGAGGACGATGGAGCTTGGGCTCCCACGAGCCAGGTCCCACCCTGAGCAGTCTGTCACCAACCACGAGCCCCTGTGGGGATCCATCAGGAGCCACAAGTGTTCATGACCTCTCTGGGTTGACACTACTGGGTTTTTATTGAGCGAGGGGGCAGCAGGCTCCCATCAGCCAGGGAAGGTCTCCCCTTCTTCCGGGAAGCACAGTGTGGAGTGGGATCAGGGGCTCCCAGGGACTGGACACACTGGCCCGTTCCCTTTTATTCTGTGTTTCTGCTCCGCTCCACTCGGCCCATTAGCTGAGGCATTAAATTTTAACATTTTTTCTTGCTCCTTGCAGCCTGTTCCTGGTGAGTGGGTGCCTGGGTGGGTGCCAGGGCCCTGGCGCCGCACTGGGGGAACCTGGGGGACCATGGGAGTCTGGCTGTGGTGGGGGTACCCATCTGCATCCCACGGGCAGGAGAGGGGCTCCCAGGGACCAGCATGGAAACAGGATCACTGCAAACACTCTGCACAGCTCTTATGCCAGGCTGGGAGAGCTGGGGATATTCAGCCTGGAGAAGAGAAGGCTCCAGGGAGACCTGAGAGCCCCTTCTAGTCCCTAAAGGGGCTCCAGGAGAGCTGGAGAGGGACTTGGGACAAGGGCCTGGAGGGACAGGCCAAGGGGGAATGGCTTCCCACTGCCAGAGGGCAGGGTTAGATGGGATATTGGGAAGAAATTCTTCCCTGTGAGAGTGGTGAGGCCCTGGCACAGGTTGCCCAGAGAAGCTGTGGCTGCCCCATCTCTGGAAGTGTTCAAGGCCAGGTTGGACGGGGCTTGGAGAAACCTGGGCTGGTGGGAGGTGTCCCTGCCCATGGCAGGAATGAGATGGTCTTTAAGGTCCCTTCCAACCTAAACCATTCCATGATTCTGTGATTCTATG